AATGGTGTGACAACTGTTGGCCATCAAATGGTGTGGCAACTGTTGGCCATCAAATGGTGTGACAACTGTTAGCCATCAAATGGTGTGACAACTGTTGGCCATCAAATGGTGTGGCAACTGTTAGCCATCAAATGGTGTGGCAACTGTTAGCCATCAAATGGTGTGGCAACTGTTAGCCATCAAATGGTGTGGCAACTGTTAACCATCAAATGGTGTGGTAACTGTTAGCCATCAAATGGTGTGGCAACTGTTAGCCACCAGATGGTATGGCAACTGTTAGCCATCAAATGGTGGGACAACTGTTAGCCATCAAATGGTGTGACAACTAATAGCCATCAAATGGTGTGGCAACTGTTGGCCATCTAATGGTGTGACAACTGTTAGCCACCAGATGGTGTGGTAACTGTTAGCCATCAAATGGTGTGGCAACTGTTTGCTATCAGATTGTGAGGCAACTGTTGGCCATTAGATGGTTAGGCGACTTTTCCCCCTCTGTCGTCAGTCATTCTGTCAATGTAAAAAAGCAAAAAAAATTTACCTGTATCAGAAAGTTAAACACAGTGGCATGTGCATACGATTTAGCCATAGCACTGCAGTAGACTCCTTCTCTGACATCGACATTAATTCTGAGTTCACAGATATTACAGAGAGCATCATTGTTTGTTAATATGACATTCAATATAGCCTGAATATTGTATATTATTGTTGTAATTATGAGAGCTGTTGAGGTTACCTCTAAGTAACACAGTAAAGGATTCTAATTCCGTAGTTGGGGCCAAGGTAGACATTTTATAGACCATATTTGTACAGTGTTTAAACTGCAAGTACCAAGATACTTCAAATTAAAACCTAAACAGGGAGATGGAAACTACAGTAACCATACCGTTTCATTGTAACCTGTCAATATTGTTGTTAAGGATGGCAAGAGTGTTAAGTACGTGGCATCACTGTGCAGAACACGATGACGTCATACTGACAGTTTAAAGACAGCCGTCATGCACCAAAGAATGCGGAAAAGAGGGAATTATGGTATGATATTATCACTTATGCAGAGCTATGGAAGAGACTAATCAAATTGCAGTGGACCAAGAGGTGAGGAAAAGACGCTGACTTTGGATACGGCACACGTTAAGAAACCCTGAGAACAATACAAGAACAAATAGAGTTAGATAATGAAGAGAACGATATGGGATAAGCTGCGTGCAATAGCGAAGGATAGTACAATTTGGCGTGAGTTGGTTAATGGTATATGCCCTAATAGGGGATGGAAGGCAGAAGAAGAAAGAGAAGCGCGTAAAAATGGCCGTTTACTTACATGACATTGCTCAACAACTGCACAGCGATGAGGTTTTCGAACCCTTCAGGCTTCTAGCTTAGTATCTATCTACTGCGCTGTCGCTATTCAAAGAGTATGTCATGCCAGTACTAACAATGCTTATGCTAGATAAGAGTAGAATTTCGGTCCAAAATGGGGTCGGGGAGGGTGTGGGGTTGGGGGAGGGTTGGGGGGGGGGGGGCATGCCGACTGTTTGTAGCCTGAGTGGTCTCGAGGTACGGCATCTGTCTCGAGTGCTGGAGGTTCCGGGTTCAAGCCCCGGTGAAGGCTGGGATTTTTTCACGTGAACTTTTAATAATTTTCCCTGGTCTCTGGGTAGTAAGACCGGATGCATGTGTCTATTGCTGCGCACGTAAAAAACTCCTTAGCAATGGTTGGGGGGGGGGGGGGGAAAGGAGGAGTAGCGTTACGGCGCTGCCCGAGCATAGTTTATAGTTAAACATTTACACCAAGCATTTCAGCATCCTCACCGGTGCAACGGAGTTCGTGCACTGCGCTAAAATTTTCAGACTCAGGTTTAAGTTAGAAGTTGAACGGAGCACTTATGGGTTTCACCCGTGACCCCTAAATATTGATCCGTTAAATAAACGTATGTCTGCATTAACTGTTGCATTGCCCCTTTATGTTGACTGAAAAAATATAGTTCTGTCGCTCTGCTACTGAACTATGGTCAAGATGCGATACTATTATCTGCAGACCTCACTTAGAATGCTTTTCGACTGTGCCCAATATGGTTTGTGTTGTGAAACGCAGATTGAAAAATGGCGAGTAACCGGTTGCAAAAGAACTAGTAGTGCTTCTGCCGATTTGTTATGATTGCTGCTTCCATCAACGATGAACTTCCACTCCTGTGGCGGACTTTTTGCGATGTTATGTCTGATGACTGCTTTATGCCCTAAATGCCTAAGTATGCTGTTGTCCCCCTATAGGTTCCGGTGCCAAATTTTGTGGAAAAATAGACACACCGTACCATAACAAACATGAGGCGAACGGCGACTAACTATGCCTGTTTCCTTCAAACTCGGAGTGCCTGTGCATGAAAGCCGAGAAACTACCAGTCTACACACAGCTAGGCTCGATATGTAACACGAGGGTGCAGGCAAAACTCAATTTCTGAAACAAGACCAAAGTCCAGAAGTAGACAAGCAATCATAACTTTCCGCTGGAGTTCAGCCAGTCAAAGCGAAGAACAAGGAGGAGGAGGAGGAGGGGGAGAAGAAGAAGAAGAAAAAGAAGAAGAAATGAAGAAGAAGCGATGCGTGAAGATTATTTAGATAGCCTATCCTGCCTACTATAAATCCACAACTCACAGTAGACTAATGCTGGAAATGACCACCTGAGCGTGAAACACCTATGAAATTCGTGCAATCTGATGTTTTTAAAAGTTCGGGTTACTTGATTTACCGTCAGCCAGGTTACTTGATTTACCGTCAGCCAGGTTACTTGATTTACCGTAAGTCGGGTTACTTGATTTACCGTAAGTCGGGTTACTTGATTTACCGTAAGTCGGGTTACTTGATTTACCGTAAGTCGGGTTACTTGATTTACCGTAAGCCGGGTTACTGGATTTACCGTAAGTCGGGTTACTGGATTTACCGTAAGTCGGGTTACTTGATTTACCGTAAGTCGGGTTACTGGATTTATTGTAATCCGGGTTACTGGATTTACCGTAAGTCGGGTTACTTGATTTACCGTAAGTCGGGTTACTGGATTGACCGTAAGTCGGGTTACTTGATTAACCGTAAGCCGGGTTACTTGATTGACCGTAAGTCGGGTTACTTGATTAACCGTAAGCCGGGTTACTTGATTGACCGTAAGTCGGGTTACTTGATTTACCGTAAGTCGGGTTACTGGATTGACCGTAAGTCGGGTTACTTGATTAACCGTAAGCCGGGTTACTTGATTGACCGTAAGTCGGGTTACTTGATTTACCGTAAGTCGGGTTACTGGATTGACCGTAAGCCGGGTTACTTGATTTACCGTAAGCCAGGTTACTTGATTTACCGTAAGTCGAGTTACTGGATTTACCGTAAGCATACTGACTGTTTGCCTAAGAATCAGTGTATGTTTTTCATGTACCGCAAATAAGGCAAAACGAAAAACAGATGCTTTGAAACTAAACAAAATATCTTGCAAGGACTTGATTATTATCAGGTTGCCTACGAGAGTTCAGCAACTTACACCGAACGGTTACTGCGTTACAAGTTATTAAACTGGTCCACGACTTCTGAAACGGACGATATTTCTCATAATTTAATCTGTCAGTCAAGACACTACTCCTAAGGCTGGCTACTACATTTTATGTCACATTTTAACAGCTGACTAAGCTGCTGAAAACAAACTTCTGTGAAAGCGGATAGTTTCGCACACAAGTCTTCTGTTTGCGATTAGGTCTAATGACCTCATCTTTTTCGTATCGCATATATCAGTTATTTAGCTTTCAAACACTGTCTTCGACTTGTGACTTTATCCAGTGACGTCGTCTTTTTTTCGTATTCATTAAAAAAAAAAAAAAAAAAATTTACAGCTTTCGCACATCGTCTTATACATGTAAATTGACTTAATGACGTCAACTTTTCTCGAATCCATAAATAAATTACATAGCTTTCGTACATTGTTTCCTACTTACGACTAGGTCTAATGGTGTAATATGTTCTCGTATCCATACATCAACTATACAGCTTTCGTACATGGTCTCCTACTTACGACTGGACCTAATTATCTAACTGTCCCCATAACCATAACACGTATATAGCTGTGATACATCGTCTCCTACTTACGACTGGACCTAATTATCTAACTGTCCCCATAACCATAACACGTATATAGCTGTGATACATCGTCTCCTACTTACGACTGGACCTAATTATCTAACTGTCCCCATAACCATAACACGTATATAGCTGTGATACATCGTCTCCTACTTACGACTGGACCTAATTATCTAATTGTCCCCATAAGCATAACACCTATACAGCTGTCATACATCATCTCCTACTTACGACTAGGTCTAATAATGTAATCTGTTCTCGTATTCATACATCAACTATACAGCTTTCAGAGACCGTCTTCTACTTTCGACTGGACCTTATTATCTAATGTTTCCCATGTCCATAACAGCTATACAGCTGGCATCCATCGTCTGCTACTTACTTGTTAACACCCGGATGTTTTATTAGCATTGAAAATTCGCGGGTGGCGTCAACTTGGCACTCATTTACCCCAAAAAGGCAGGCCTCTGAAACTATCAGGGATTGTAGCATCCTGTGGATGTCGAGGCAATTGAATCAATCCGAACAGCTTTTCACTATTTACATTTTTTTTCCTTCTTCACATAATAAAAGTTTATTTACGCAGAAGTTTAATGACATGGTTGATCAAGTTTAGTTTGTTTAGTGGTGTTGTGCAAAGGCATTACATCGACATCTGAATGTACATATCTTGAAACATCATACGCCGTTATTGATAAATCAGATGCAGAAATTCATATCCGATGCAGTAAACAAAGCATTAGGACAGCTAGCGTTCCCCAGCTCCCTTTTTTTTCAACAAAATGCAATCTCAAGCAGCACAAAGAAACATCTCTAACAAAGCATATTCATTGCGACCGCACGCTACTGCTGCCAGACATGGTCACTCACAACAAACCAGGGGGAAAAAAATGAAAAAAAGATAATTAAGAAGGGCTGCAGGAGTGACACGAAGAGATGCATTGAAGAATGAGGTCACACAAGAACAGACCGGCACAGAACCAATTCTAAATTATACACACAAGTGGTTCGCACGCTTGGATAGAATGCTTTACCATACAAGGCATACGCGATTTTAAAAAAAAATACAGAGAAGGACATAGGCCATGAGTTAGACCAGTAATTATATGGAAAGATATCATCAGAGAGATTCAATAAAAGCACAAAGTGTCTATGATCGAGGTGGCCAGTTCAGCCAGTAGTAGCAATTTATATCTCCTTCGACACCTGCAGTGGTGAAAGAAAAAAATGAAGAATACGAAAGACAGAAATGGTGTAGTAGTGCCAGGAAACATCAACGTTTGTCTTCTTGACATTTGCATGTAGTCATAAAAAGCTCTGCACCAAACATTTACACTAGACATTTTTATGTAACCATAACGAGCGCTGCACTAAACATTTACACTAGACATTTTCATGTAACCATAACGAGCTCTGCACCAAACATTTACACTAGACATTTTCATGTAACCATAACGAGCGCTGCACTAAACATTTACACTAGACATTTTCATGTAACCATAACGAGCGCTGCACTAAACATTTACACTAGACATTTTCATGTAACCATAACGAGCGCTGCACCAAACATTTACACTAGACATTTTCATGTAACCATAACGAACGCTGCACTAAACATTTACACTAGACATTTTCATGTAACCATAACGAGCGCTGCACCAAACATTCACACTAGACATTTTCATGTAACCATAACGAGCGCTGCACTAAACATTTACACTAGACATTTTCATGTAACCATAACGAGCGCTGCACTAAACATTTACACTAGACATTTTCATGTAACCATAACGAGCGCTGCACTAAACATTTACACTAGACATTTTCATGTAACCATAACGAGCGCTGCACTAAACATTTACACTAGACATTTTCATGTAACCATAACGAGCGCTGCACTAAACATTTACACTAGACATTTTCATGTAACCATAACGAGCTGCACTAAACATTTACACTAGACATTTTCATGTAACCATAACGAGCGCTGCACTAAACATTTACACTAGACATTTTCATGTAACCATAACGAGCGCTGCACTAAACATTTACACTAGACATTTTCATGTAACCATAACGAGCGCTGCACTAAACATTTACACTAGACATTTTCATGTAACCATAACGAGCGCTGCACTAAACATTTACACTAGACATTTTCATGTAACCATAACGAGCGTTGCACCAAACATTTACACTAGACATTTTCATGTAATCATAACGAGCGCTGCACTAAACATTTACACTAGACATTTTCATGTAATCATAACGAGCTCTGCACCAAACATTTACACTAGACATTTTCATGTAACCATAACGAGCGCTGCACTAAACATTTACACTAGACATTTTCATGTAATCATAACGAGCTCTGCACCAAACATTTACACTAGACATTTTCATGTAACCATAACGAGCTCTGCACCAAACATTTACACTAGACATTTTCATGTAACCATAACGAGCTCTGCACCAAACATTTACACTAGACATTTTCATGTAACCATAACGAGCTCTGCACCAAACATTTACACTAGACATTTTCATGTAACCATAACGAGCTCTGCACTAAACATTTACACTAGACATTTTCATGTAATCATAACGAGCTCTGCACCAAACATTTACACTAGACATTTTCATGTAACCATAACGAGCTCTGCACTAAACATTTACACTAGACATTTTCATGTAACCATAACGAGCTCTGCACCAAACATTTACACTAGACATTTTCATGTAACCATAACGAGCTCTGCACCAAACTTTTACATTAGACATTTTCATGTAACCATAACGAGCTCTGCACTAAACATTTACACTAGACATTTTCATGTAATCATAACGAGCTCTGCACCAAACATTTACACTAGACATTTTCATGTAACCATAACGAGCTCTGCACCAAACATTTACACTAGACATTTTCATGTAACCATAACGAGCTCTGCACCAAACTTCTACATTAGACATTTTCATGTAACCATAACGAGCTCTGCACTAAACATTTACACTAGACATTTTCATGTAATCATAACGAGCTCTGCACCAAACATTTACACTAGACATTTTCATGTAACCATAACGAGCGCTGCATCAAACATTTACACTAGACATTTTCATGTAACCATTACGAGCTCTGCACTAAACATTTACACTAGACATTTTCATGTAATCATAACGAGCTCTGCACTAAACATTTACACTAGACATTTTCATGTAACCATAACGAGCTCTGCACCAAACATTTACACTAGACATTTTCATGTAACCATAACGAGCGCTGCACTAAACATTTACACTAGACATTTAGTTCTTTTCTCTTCAAGTCAAATTTAGTTTCTGAATATGAGATGTACATAAGAGAAGGTCGTATTTCATGGAAAGAAACATGATCTAATACAGAGACAACGAAGAAACTGGGAAAAAAATAGAATTCCTTAAAAACATTTTTGTTTAAGGAATAATAGTTTAGCGACATTAAAAGACATACTACTCTTACAAACCTATACTGAAAACAAGAGTTCAAGGCGAGTGAATAAGAAGTAGACAGTGATACAAGTGGGAAGTTAACATCTAAAGACTGACGAACGGTAGTAACCTTACAGCCAAGACGAGAGACATCAGGTGTTGGAGATTCACGCCTTTTGAGGATTTTGATTGGCTGATGTTAACAACTTGAACATCATATCATCTGATGTAACCTAGTTGTTTCTAGTATTGTTTGTTGGTCACTGGAATGCAATTTGTAAAGCAGCTCTGTATTACCTGTTTGATGAATAGTCCACGGTTGTCGTGGACTCAAGTTTGCTATACACATTTGTTTTCATTCACTGTCCTTTTGTGAATTTATTCGTCACACAGGGTTGGAGCCTATGTCTCTATTTCGCTCTAACCTGTGAAATGGCCTCTATAAATTGCATGGAATACAATTGTTTATCAGAAAGGCATCCTTTCCTGCAAGTTTCAGTTAAGATATAATTGTTTTACAGGGTGGGGGTGGGTGGGGGGGGGGGGGGGGGAACTAGCCCCATGCCTAACCTTTCATATCCGGGTTTGGGACAGGTAACGGTAGAAATGTTTCAAAGATAATTACACCCAAAACTAAAAACTTAGTAGAGGTCAAACAACTGAGACAAGCAAACACTAAGCCCGAAATATTTGACCCACAGAGTGTTGAGTGAGCTATGCGACAGTTAACAGCAGTTGACAACCCAACGACACGCAGTATTGTGCTATAATGATGACAATGATGACGAAAGAAACACAGGACTTACGCTTGGCTGTAAGTGAATGTATGGCCGATGTGAAACGAGGTGTATGAATCATGGAGTTTTTTCCTCACGAATTCCTGTACATTTCAGCAGAAGTAAACTGTTAGAAATTACATCACTACTAAAGACAATGTATTAAATACAGGAATTATTGTACATTACGGCAAATTTATCAATAAGTAAAGTAAAAGTAAAGATCCCTTTTCACGCCTTAGGCGCATTATGTATATGGGAAGAGCGTCCCATATTTTTACAGACCAATTGGCAATAGGTGGATAATGTGGTAAGCATAACGCCGGCCGTCTTTACTTCCCTAAGACAGCCATCCTGGTACCCATTGTAGGCTGGGTCGACATGCGACGCCCCATACCATGATAACAATCCACCCTAATTTATCAGTGGCAGGAGATAATTAATGTATGTACCAATTTACATGCTAGTCCGAAAATGATGGGTTTAAGTCTACGCCGAGGTAGATTTTAATTACAGTGGTGCCTCAAAACTCGAACAGCATTGAATCCGAACGAAATTTTCAAGTAAATTGTGTCTCGTATTTCGAAAAGTCGTCTTGAAAATCGAACGCCTGGTACGTGGCGACTACGCAATTGAGCAGACCATGCAAGAGCTTCACCGGCAGCTCAGGAAAGAAATAACAGAAGAAAAATCATCTGGGCGGCAAGAAGGGGAAGCTGGAGGGATGAGCACTGTGGAAATCCAAGATCTTTGAACCTTGTGATCAAAGTTGTTGAGAGGTGGCGCCTGACAGAGCCTTAGTTAATAGGTATGTTGACATTCAATGGTAAGATTATCGAACGTTTCAGGAAATTTAAGATGGTGGCCAACACCAGAAACACTGTGGAATGCTAGCTGTCGGCAACACAACTAGTAACCCCAAACCCCCTGCAAGTGGTGAATAAATACGATATGAAACATCAGAAGGAATTTCCAGCAGTATCATGAAAGGTTGCTCACCTAACCAAACAATAATCTCCCTACATTCTTCTTTTTCCTACTTCTGCCTAGAATGTCAACATTTTAATCAATAGAAATAAACTCACAGGGAGCAAGTACAGCAGGGATCTACCAGTCATCAGTAGAAGTTATCCTCGTCGACAAGTGTTTCGGCACACGATTCTCCTAGACACTTTCGGAGGTGGGCCCACCTGAGCCCATGAAGCTCAGGGCTGGTACCCTGCTGCACGAAATTACCGGATGGTGT